ACATGCCTGGGGCATCCGCACATGTGGCTCTCTGTGCTGGTGGCATCTGTGTGCCAGTCATTGCTGTATCCAGGGCCCCGCAGGGACTGTCACAGGATGAGGTCAGGACAGGCCTTGATGGCCCAGTGGCCGCACCAAGGAGCCAGCAAACCAGGCGGATCACTGCCGAGGAGGGCTGTGGGAAGGGGCGGTGAGAGCCCGGCTCGAAAACAGGGTGGGGGTGGGCTCCCCCAGGCTCGAGGAATGTGGGAGGACTCTGATCCTCGTTGCTGTAGGCCCTTCGCTTCTAGTGTCTGCAGCGCTCCGAGGCATGTGGCGCAGCGTGGGGCTCGGGCTCGGCTTCCAGGCCAGCAGGAGAAAGGCTCTCTGACTTCTCTCTGACCTCCAGACCCTCTTTGAAAGGTTCCTCCGGTCCATCCACACCTGGCCACCGTAAATCTCCTTTTCAATGAGCTGTAATTACATCTGGAAATGCCCTCATCTGTGTTTGCAGGGCAGCCCACACCCAGGGGGAGGGATTCTGCGGGCCTGGGCTCTGGAGCCCCACGGAGGTCTGCCTGCCCCATGGTGGGAGGGAGTTCCAGGCGGAGGTAGCAGGAAGCATGGGTGGGGTCAGCCTTAACTCTGCAGGTCCTGCGGGCATCGGGGCTTTGCCTTGGGGAAGGGACGGACCCTCTCTTGGGCTGTGATGGGTTTTGGAAACACTTCGAAAAGGTGATGCGTTCATTCAGTGCACAGCATCCTAGCCCTAAATTCTCATTAGGTGACGATTTTGTAGGGGGTTACACAGGTGAATATTTCTGTTTTCCGTTTTAGGACATATAGGTCTATTTTATTTTATTTTATTTTATTTTTTTAAAGATTTTATTTATTTATTTGAGAGAGAGAGAATGAGAGATAGAGAGCACGAGAGGGAAGAGGGTCAGAGGGAGAAGCAGACTCCCTGCTCAGCAGCGAGCCCGATGCGGGACCCGATCCCAGGACTCCAGGATCATGACCTGAGCTGAAGGCAGTCGCTTAACCAACTGAGCCACCCAGGCGCCCCATATAGGTCTATTTTAATGTGGATTAGGAAAAAATAAGTCAGCCCACTGGAGGCCCAATAGTTTTGCCTAGTTGGGTTGAACCATGAGGCATGAGCTAACCTAAGCCTGAGAGGTAGAATCAAGTGAATTGCTGCTCAGGTTTGCCTGGACAACCTGGTGAGGACGCCCTTGAAGGACTGAGGTTTGTCAGTGCTGGTCCGTTGCAGACAGACACGGGAACAGGCCTGTCGTGGGGCTGTGGGCGCCACGCGTGGCCGAGCCGGGTGCCTGGCGTGTGGCTGTAACATCGTCTCCTTCCCTTCACCCTGGGTTCCCGGATTTCAGGGGAGCAGAGTGCAGCCAGCCTCAAGTCACACTGGTGACCGAAAGCTCAATCCCAGTTTTAAAAATAGAACCCGAGACAAATGGATGAGTCTCTCCACGCCCACCGCCAGTGCGGAATATTTCCAAAGGAAATTGCCTCCTATTACTTCATTCTATTACAGAGAGCGTGGCTCATAGAGCCACTCATCCCTCCATTAATTTTCCGTAGGGAATGGACTGTGCCTTCCTGGCTTAATGGAGGAGCTAGAACACCACAGATCACCTGATTGGGGCCGGGCCCTGCCATTCCAGGAACCCTGACGCCTGTGGGGCCAGGCGGTGCACGGGGCGATGGAACAGAACCCCCGGGAAGGGCGTGGCCTGCCTTCCCTGCTGACCCCGGACAGCAGCCCCATCGGGCTTTGTGGCCAGTGGGAAAGTGCCGCCCCTCGGCCCCTCCCTTCCTCTCTTCCCATTGGCGAAGGAATAGAAAAGGAGGCACAGGTGGATGGAGGCCCGGGTCGAGTCTGGGGCCGTCCCCCACACTTCAGGGCTTTCTCCTCGCCATCACTGGCCCTAGATCTGCCTTTTCTTAGGAATCTCCATCTGCTTCCAACCAGATGGCTTTCACTGCAAGGCTGTTCCCCAGGGAAGCTACTTCCGGCACGCCAGAGGTCAGAGCGAGACCTTTCCCATCTTCATCTGCCGCCACGCCGTGTGCACTCAGGGTCAGGCGACTTGCGTGCTTCTTGGATGGTGCGAGAGAATCCTGGCAGAGGAGCGTGCCACTCAGGCAGGCTTCTCTGGGACCCTGGATCTGGTCCCATCGGGGCTGCGGCTGGGCTCGGCGCCCCAGCCCTGGGCGCTGGACGCTCTCCCGCTCTGCGCCCCCGCAGCAGTGACTTCCCACTCAGCGTGCACGCGCGTGTGCACACACGCGCACACGCACACGTTTGGGGGCCAAACGACCCCAGGGCGAGGGCTCTGCTGCAGGCTACTTGCTCCCCGGGCTCCTGTGCTGGGCTCTGTCCCCAGCCTCTGCCGGGGCTGTTCCTCTTTCTGGAATGCTCTCCCTGCCCAGCCCCTTCTCCTGGGGAATGTCTTCATCAGATCGCAGCTTAAGCCTGGCCGTGGCCTTCTGGGCCCCCTGTCCTGTGTGGTCATCATGTGGCCCGTGGTGTCACCCTGCCTGCACACCTCTGTCCTTCCCGCTGTGCACAAGCCCCACAGGCAGAGCCGGAAGTGTTTCGTGCTTACTGGAGTGGGCACAGCCATTGGCCACGGCTCCGCACAGGGCCACGTGGGGTTGCTGTCACGTCACACAGAGGCAGAAACCAAGGCTCCGGGCACCCATGTCTGTCTGAACATTGATGCTGCTCTTCTGCCAGGAGCCCTTTCAGTGGGCCGCCATGAGGGGCCCCCCAGAGCACTCGAGGCCGATGGGTATGCTGTGCTGGCCAGAGGGTGCCCACCGTGCCTCATTTCCCTAGATTTGGGGGCCAGGGGTCAGCCCAGGCAGGGAGGAGCAGGTGCCAGGGCTATGTTGAGGGAGGTAGAGCCCAAGAGCCAGGCAGGGGCCGGGTACCCCAGTGCACAAGAGCACAGAGGCCTGAGCATCACCTCCGCCCACCCCCCTATACGCATTCTTTCTCTGCTGGGTGGTCCCTCGTGCCACGGTTGCCAAGGAGCCAGGGGCCTGCAGGTGAGCCCTGCTCTGGGTGGGGCAGCCGGGCTTGCCAGGGCCTGCACCCTACTACAGACAGTAGAGGTGGGGAGGGTGCCCTGGCCGAGTGCTGAAGCTGCCTGCTCTGGCGCCTGAGCTGCTGGGTCAGCAGGGTTGAAGGTGTGCCTGGGTCACAGGGCTGCCTGGTGTGTGAGGGCCGGTGGTTAACCAGAAAGCCAGGTGAGGGCATAGAGGGGTGGGGCATGGGTGTGCGTGTGGGCAGGTACAACGGCAGGGTGTGCGTGACCCTGAGCCCATCCCAGCAGCTCAGCCTGGATCTGCAGGGTGGCCCTGAGCCCGGGCCGCAGGAAAGCTGAAGGAGGTCAGTGGTGGGCGGAGAGCTGGGGGTGTGGGCAGCATGACCGGTGGCTGGGTGTACCTTGACATATGTGCCGCTCCTGGACAGGTCACCATGCTGGCCTCTGCCCACAGGCCGAGGGTAAGGCAGTGGATGGGGGGGGGCTGCTTTTCCTGCAGTTGATGAACATGTACTATAACCCATCCTGTCTGGTGTGTGCCAGATACCGGGGAGTTACCTGAGGGAAGGAGAAGCAGCCTCTGTTCTCCTAGAGCTAAAAGTAGTTGGAGAAGAACATTCTGGGGAGGTGGTTTTTAGCTTAATATTAGGATAGCTTTACAACAATTTGAATTTGCCAATGGAATGAATGAGTGAGGATGGTGAATTTGTTCTGCTTGAAAGAGCCTTGCAAATAGAGGTACTTTGTGATGGATGGATGGAAGGACGGATGGAGGGTAGACTCACGGATGGGTAGGTGGATGGATAGAGGGTAGACAGACAGATGGCTGAGTGGGTGGGTAGGTAGACAGTGAGCTGCCCTGCTAAGACGTACCTGGTACAGAGAGAGTGCAAGCACTTGTCCTGTACGAGACAGCAGAGCTCCATGTCTCTTCTGAGGGTTACGATCGTGGGGAAATGGGAAGTGTAGGTTAGTGGTACACACATGCACTTGCTCCCACGCACATCCTTTCCTTTGAGCGTGTCCCTCCCAGCAGTACCAGCTCTCCACTAGCGAGGCAGAGCCCAAACATGCTCCTGTGCGTTACCACGAGCCCAGCCGCTTTGCCCCGCCAGCAGCATGCCTTCCCGTCTTCAGTAGCCACCCGGAGAACCTGAACCTCCAAACCCACGAGCATGCTCACCCTGCTTTTGTCACTTGCTGGTTAAGAAGGCCTTCAATGGCTAGGCCCCAAAAGGAGCTTGCTGGGGCCATTTTGGAGGTTGGGGAAGACATAGGGAGCCTCTGTGGGGCCACCTAGGATGTGGCCAGCCCCCAGCACAGGGACTATGGAGGCCGTGGAAGGGGCGAGCATGCCCCAGGCTTCCGGGGGGCACTGCATCCGCCAGGGGCCTGGAATGCCACCAGCACGTGCAGCATATGCCAAGTGCAGGGGCACACGGGCGCAGCCAGGGGCACGCATCTGTTCCTTTTGGAGCCACATTTTCCTGTGAAGTCCCGGTTGCTAACCGGACAGGAATCAGAGTTTGCAAACTGGTGGCCCCTGGGCTGGATCTGGCTCACGGCCACGCGGAGTCTAACGTGGTTGTCCTTCTTGCCTATTTGTAATCATTAGGGGATTTTAAATACAAGTCCTGATGTCTGGCTTCTCGAAAACCAAAAACGTTAGCAGGGCCCAGGCCTCTCTCGCGGTCACTTCCCTGGTGGCAGTGGGGGGGCTGGCACTGCAGGGCAGCCCCCCCTTGGGCAGGGCCGTGCCCTCCAGGTCCCCTGCACCCCACCAGCAGCCGACTTTGCTCGTTGGCATCACCTGCCTGGCCCCAGCGGACACTGAGTTTGAGAGCCCTGGACAGGCTGTTCTGGGGTCCCCCGGGGGACAGAGTGGGGGAAGGGGGAGGGGAGGGCAGCCCCTGTCCATGGCAATGATTGTCTGACCTCCCGCCCCCCCAGCTTCACACAGGCCATGCTGAGCCAGCCCAAGATGGAGAGCCTGGATAACCCCACGGCCTACCGCATGGGCCTCGCGCTCCTGGGAGTGGGCAGCACGTTTGTGCTCTCCAGCTTCTTTGCACTGGGCTTCACCGGGACCTTCCTAGGTAAGACCTCAAGGGCTGGGGGCCACGAGCAGACGCACTCTGGGTCCAGGCGGGAGCAGGCGCTGCCTGCCTGCCCTGCCATCTGTGACATCTTCGTGGGGAGCACTGGGGGACCCGGCTGGCTCGTTGCTCTGCCCCTAAGTCTGAGAGGCTCTGGGCACTTTCGTCCTCCAGGCCTCTGCCTGTCCGTGGTTAGCCTGGGAAGCCTGGGAAGTCCTAACCATGTCTCATCCAGCTGGTTGGCTGCCAGGCCAGGTGGGATTGCCATTTGCTGCCCTTGGGCCACAAGCCAGGGCTGGTGTGGGTCTGGTGCGGGTCTGGATCGGGTGGGGGCGTGGGGGGACGATGCTGTCCCTGCTCTGCGTTCCCCACTGCCTATGGCTCGGGGGCTTTTGGGCTCAGGTCCTCATGACATCAGCAACTTCTAGCAACTTGGAAGCCCAAGAAGGAGCGCAGCTGGGGGAGGCTACAAGAGCAAGGCAGTCTTGGGGACAGGGACAGAACGGAGGAGGCAGCCCACAGAAGGAGCCCAGCAGGCAGGTTATGTGGGAGCTGCCCACGTCTCTGATGGGCTGGATCGGGGGCTCCTGGGTCCTCCCCGCTCTCAGCCCCCAGCCACCTTCGCAGACCTGGCCTCAGTTTCCTCCAGCGCCCAGGGCAGTCTCTGGGGCCCTCCCCGTCTGCCTGGGGGCCTCTCTGTCCACAGTCGCTTGGGGCCTGGGGTACTGCAGGCTGCAGAGGGGAGCCGGGAGCTCAGAAGGCGCTGTGTTCACAGGCAGAGGACACACGTGGGAGCAGCGCGTGCAGGGGGCCTGAGCTGCGCCTGTCACCCACCTGCAGCAGCGGGGCCCCCAGGCGGCTTATGCCTCGTGCTCAGGCCGGAGCTTTAGGATGCCCAAGGCTCAGAGAGGGGCAGCGGGCGGGAAGGTGGGAAGAGACGTTGGGAGCTCCTGGGTCTGCCAGGTGGGAGCAGGGCACTGGGGTGGGCCCGGGAGCAAACAGCAAGCTCCAGGGCAGGATGGTGGGCAGGTGGGCCGGTGTGCTGGGGGCCGGTCCGGCCAGGGCTGGAGGTCAGGTGGGGGCCACATCACACATGTCCCTGAAGAACATGCAGGGGCCTGAGGCCTCACTCCTGGGGAGGTGCGGGCCATAGGAGGGCTTGGAAAGATGACCCAGCAATGAGGAGGTTGCACTAGTGGGGTCGTGAGGGAGGGGCGGGGATGAGGGCGGATCAGGTGTCTGTCGCGCAGAGCTGGGGGCCCAGGGACACAGAGGGAGGAGGGGCACTGTCCTGTCCTCCTGGGGTCCTCTGAAGACCAGGGTGAGTAGCCCAGCAGCCCTCAGGCGCGGCAGAGATGTGGGCAGAGAGCTGGGAAGGGGTCGCTGTGGGAGGTCAGGGCCATGGCGGGGAGCCAGTCAGGGTGGGCGGCTGGTGGGAAGAAACCAGAAAAATCCCAGGCACCACAGCCTAGCACCCCGCAGGAGAAGTGGCTGACAAAGGCCGCGGGGCTCTGGATGTAGGGCACGGCGGCCGCGCCCCTCCTGTGAGTCAGCCCCAAAGTGGGTTTCTGTGCCATCCGCCTCCAGGCCCACAGCCCCTTTCCTGCCTCCTGGGAATATAGCCTTCCGCAGCACCCCCGGCGGCTCCTGTAGCCCCCACACCCTTTGTCCCCAGACAATGGACTCCTCCCGCCCAGGGCTGCCCTACTTCTGCCTCGGATGAAGCTCTGAGGCATTTCTGGGGAGAGGAGGCTGGGAGGATGCACCGGTGCCCTTCAGTGAGCAGCATGGAGCCCGTGGCCATGCGGGCCGCCTGGGGGCCCGTGCCACGTTTCGGAGGGCTGGATGACGGGCCTGTCTGAGGTCGGCCGTCTCACGGTCACACTCTCCACTGTGACCAGCTGCTCGGGGCTGGTCGCGGGGCCGGGGCCGTAATCCCAGGGCTGACCTCTTGGGTGGTGGGCAGTCCAGGGTGGAGGAGCAGAACAGGCCCCCTCGTTTCCCCCCCGGGGGTTGGCGGGGGGAGGTGCTCACCCAGGCCACATGTTGGGTAAGAAGGAAGGATCTGGGGGCAGAAATAGTGGGGAGCAGACAGGCCTGCTTTCTTTCTTTCTTTTTTTTTTTTAAAAGATTTTATTTATTTGACAGACACAGCGAGAGAGGGAACACAAGCAGGGGGAGCGGGAGAGGGAGAAGCAGGCTCCCCGCTGAGCAGGGAGCCCGATGCGGGGCTCGATCCCAGGACCCTGGGATCATGACCTGAGCCAAAGGCAGACGCTTAACGACTGAGCCACCCAGGCGCTCCAACAGGCCTGCTTTCAATAGTGGAAGGGTCTCATTCAGGAGGTGACGTGAGCTAAGGGAGAAATGCCAAAGGAGGAAAGCTGCTGGCTGGCTGGAGAGCAGGGACAAACGTCCTGAGCAGAGGGAACAGCATGTGCAAAGGCAGAGGAGAGGAGCAGATGGTGGGTGGGAAGGCCCTCTGAGGCGTCTGCATGCCTATGGCTTGAGTGGGCCCAGCGCCTGGCGTGTCCCTTGACGTGGTAAAACCAGCTCCCTGGCCGGCCTGCAGCCTCCTGGGGGGCAGATCTCGTGGTTCTCCCCCCACCCCCACCCACCGAGGGGCCTCCCCCAGGAACCGTTTGGCCAGGCTGTGAGCCTCCGGTCCTCCCTCTCCTCGTCCACAGGCGATTACTTCGGGATCCTCAAGGAGGCAAGGGTGACCACATTCCCGTTCAACGTCCTGGACAACCCCATGTACTGGGGCAGCACGGCCAATTACCTGGGCTGGGCCGTCATGTGAGTATTGGGCCTGCCCCTCGGGCTGCCGCCTGGGGAGGCGAGGGCAGCCTTCTGTCATCTGCAGGGCCGAGGCGTTCCTGGGGACTTGGTTCTCTGGGGAAACAAGGCACATCCTAGAACAGGGTGTTAGCGAACTTCCTCTGGAAGGGCCGGAGAGGCAGGGCTCACAGGCTGCAGGCCGAGGTCTGCAGCTCCCGAGCAGCCGTGAGACAGTGGGTAAAGGAGAGGCTGTGGCCAGAGCTGGCACCGCATCATTCACGGACGCAGAAATTTGAATTTCATATACTTTGCATGTGTCATGTCATTCTCTATTCTTTTTTTTTTTTTTAAACCGCTTAAAAATGTACAAACCATTCCTGGCCTACAGACTGTGAGCTGCCAGTCATATACTAGAACGTGAGGGCTGGTAGGCCCCCAGCGCCTCTAGGGCTCACACTGTCCAGAGACCTCGGGCGAGGAGCCGGCCTAGGGAACGCTGTGGGCTCTGGGGTTCAAGCCATGCGCCCCTCCAGAGCACTTCCTGTTTGTCCATTTTGCATGTTAGGGCTCCTTCCATCGGAAGTTTTTCTGTAGGAAGTGTTCTGCTTTTATTGAATACTTGAAACCACGTGCCTAGGGTGTTACAGGTGCTCCCAGACTCCAGGAAGGTTATAGGACATAAAGGAATGAAGCTGTAATGGTGGAATGTCAGGAATGAGCTGTTTCCTGGAAACCCCCACCTTTCGAGGCAGCCCAGACCGGACCACTGGGCTTTGAGTGCAGGGAGCTAGAGGGGGATCTGTGGGTCTGGCCGGGACCTCTCCCCCTGCCCCAGTCCCACTTGGAGACCAGACAGTCCCCTCGCCTGGACTTGGGCAGTGGGATCCCAGGGGGAAGGTTCCATGCCCCTAGATTGACCCACTCCACAGAGCATCTCCCAGGGCCCACCCTGCAGCTTCTTGATTCTTCCTGCTGACCTCCTTTCCCTACCCCTGCCAGCACACCCATTGTTCTCTCTCATTCCCACCCCCCTTTGGTCTTCCCAAACCCAAATGGAGTGTCCCCTCCTCCAGGAAGCCCTCCCTGACCCTTGGCTCCCCATCCCCCATACACAGGGGCCTCCTCTGTGCTCAGAGTGAAATGTCAGCTCCGCCTCGGAGCTGTCAGGCCATGGCTCGCAGGAACATGAGACCCTAGGGAGGCCTGGGCTCCCAGAGGCCCCCTCAGGAGGCCATCAGCCACATGGTGATGAGAGAGGGCCTCCTCTGTGGCTCAAGACGCGGCCAGGCGCTGAGAGCTTATTAGAGATGGGCCGTTACCTGGGCTGCAAGACGCTGTCTTCCACCAGGGGCCCCGCGGATGGGGCTTCCCGGAGCAGCCAGGTGTGCTGGAGCCCTGGTGGGCCTGGGCAGCAGGGTTCCTGGGGGCATGAGGCACCGGGGCCTCCTGCTCCGTCCAGGTCTCACCTTCCCAGCTCCCCAGCCCCAGTGGGACACCCCCTCCCCCAGGGTGCGCAGTCGGTTCCCTAGGCCCAGCCCTGACGCCACCTCAGGCTCAGGGCCAGGCATGTGGGTCTCCCCATCCGCAGGAGTGATCCTTTCCACACCGGTTGTTAGCGTGTCAAGGGCAGGAGTGGAATAGCACTTGGAAGGGGCGGAGGTTTCATGTGCATGGAATGGAGAGGGGGTGCCAGCTTGCCTCCCGGGCCAGGGTCCGGTGTGGGGGCGTCCCAGGGGTCAGTCTTAGCGACACTGTGGCTACAGAGCCCGGCCCCATCCTCCTGAGCTGGCTGCCGGCAGATGTGGTGGTCCAGCCTGCTGCCTGCCTCCCCCCCAGCTCCTGGGGTGCCTGACTCGTGAGTGGGGACGCTCTGCTCACTCTAGAAAACCAAACCAGGGTCAGTGAGTAAAGCTCCAGGAGGGCAGATTTTATTTCAGCCCCAGAAGGGTCTCTGCTTGGTGTTGGCATCTCCGCCTGGCCGTGGCGAGGGGCAGACAGCCCACGCTGCCCCCAGAGGATGATTCAAACAGAGTCCACAGAATGGGGGAGGGGCCTTCGCTCTCCCTGCTGGGGTGCCCAAACAAAGGGACAGTGTGAGGTCCTGGGCGAAGGAGCGTGGACAGGGCAGAGGGTCCCCTCACGGTGCACACATGTCCTGGGGCCCCCAGCCTGAGGCTCCTGGATGCTGCGTGTCCCCCGTCTCTCCTCCCGGCCATCTAGATGCCGCAGCCGAGCCCCTGTGGAGCCTCGGGGATCCGAGGGGACTAAAAAACGTGGGACCAGCTGGACAGCAGGTGCCCCCAGGCTCTTCCAGCAGGTAGCCCACGAAGGGCCCACTGGACCCTCCACATGCCTTTGGGGGCACTGGACCCATTTCTAGAAAACAGCCTGAGGACACTGTAGGTGGAGGGCAGGTCCCCTGGAACATCCTCCTTGGGCAGAAAAAGATCCGCTTGGCCACTCGGGCGATTCTGAGAGGCCATTCTTTTCCTTCCTGATTCATCCCCGCTGTGTCCTGAGCCGGGGGGCCGGGCACATGGGAAAGGGAGTGTGGGCCCCCTTGGGAGGACTGAGCCAGCCCAGAGAGGTGGTCAGCGAGCGGCCAGCAGGTCAGGACCCGGACGGCGGGGGCCCTGGTCTGAGAGAGAAGGCTGGGCTCGGGACCTGAGAGCATCTTCCCCACAGGCACGCCAGCCCCACCGGCCTGCTGCTGACCGCGGTTGTGGCCCTCGTCTACATGGTCGCCATCCTGTACGAGGAGTGAGTAGACACCTGTCACACACGCGAGGAGCGCGCCCGCCGAGCTGGGCCGGGCTGCCCGTCACCACCCGAGTGGCCCATGGGAAGCTTCGAGCCGGCCCACTGGGCCCTGGGGGGCCAGGCAGCTGGTGCTGAGGGAGCCCGGGCCTCCTGCCCCCACTGCGGACACCCCTTCCGTCCATGCTCCGGCGGCGGGGCAGGCCTGGGGTGGTGGCATCAACCCCAAGACCTGCTGACTGGAGCCTCTCTCCCTGTCCGCAGGCCCTTCACCACGCAGATCTACCAGCAGCAAGCCTCCCCGTCCCACAAGAGGAGCTGACCGGGCCTTTGGCCATGTCGCGGAGCGTCTGCCGCCTCCGGCCTGCCCTGAGTGCCAAGCCCTACAGCGGGGAGACGGGCCCCAGCCGCCGCTCGGTGTTGGTGCCCGGCGAGGGCCACTCCAGTGCCTTGGAAACCTCTGCCTTGGGGGCCCTGGACATGCTGTCGTCTGGCCACTGAGCCCCCCTGCCCTGCAGCCCCCAGTACATCCTAACTCACCAATAAAGGCACCCTGACGCCAGCATCCCCTCTGGCTCTCTGTCTGGCCAGCGGGGGCAAGGGGAGGGAGTTTGTGGCTGCGGGGAGTAGGGCATTCCCCTGAGGGCTCCGGGCCAGGCTGGTATGGCCCTCCTCCTCACTGAAGCCTGTCAGCCCTGAGCTGGGCACCACCATCCACACGTGACAGGGAAGGGACTTGCCCGGATGTTTGGGCTTCCTGTGCTGCCAGCCTCACCCCTGCCCCAGTACCCCCTCTTCTGTCCCTTTCCTTTGGGGGGCCAGTCCAGGCTCAGGGCAGGGATATCATCATACCACCCAGTGGCCCAACCACCCCCACATGCCAAGGAGCTCCCAGCCTCTGTGAGCTGCCATCTGAGTAAATGATCAGAGAGTGAAAAATATGCCAAAAATTTAAAAGCCACATGAAAGTACCTGGTAGGGGTGGGAGCCCCATTAGCCATGGTGGTCGGGGACCCTCTGAGGAGGTGACATTTGAGCTGAGACCCAAATGAGATCTCAGAGGGAGCAAACTGGAGGATTCCAGGCAGTTGGAATAGCAAATGCAAAGGCCCTGTGCTCAGAACAAGCATGGGTGCCCAAAACAGCAGGCTCTGAGGGCCCAAGTGAGGAAGGAGCATCACCGGCTGGTGCCCCCTGGGGCACGACCGCATTTGCAGAAAGCTGGGCCGTGACACTCATGCTCTCTGAACCCCAGGCCACCAGGTCCAGCCTAGAGAAGCTGGCCTTGGAGACAGATCATCTTTGTGGCGTGATCTGAGTGTTATCAGAAAAGTCCAAGTGTGGTCACATGGCAATCCCCTTGGGCCTATGAGGGGCCTGCATCTGGATGGGAATGTGCGTGGCCCTGAAGGCCGCCATGAGGTGGGCTTGGGAAGGCGCTGTGGCTGAGGAAAGAGCGAGGGCTCGTGTACCTCCCCAGATTTGCTAGCAATGCTTGACCTGCGGAGGGAGGGGAAGGGCTGGGCCCGGCTGGACTGCGGACACGTGGTGTGCACAACGACCACATGGGCGGGGGTCACCCCTGTTTGCCGCTGAGGCTGGGTGACTTGTCCTGGAGGCACAGGTCTGCCCCACCCCAAGCTCATGCTCCCTCTCTCCCACTGAGGGGGTTGGAATTGAAGAGAACTGGGGGCTCCCAGGGCCATGGGGTGGGGCTTCCTGGGCGGGACCAGAGGACCTGGGCCCTGCACCCAAGTCTCCCCCCACACCCTGGGGCTGAACTTGGCATCTCTGGTTAACGCTGACATTTCTCTCCTAATTCTTCGTGGGCCTCAAATCGCTGGGAGGAACAGGCCCCGTAATCATCTGGGGCCTGTTGGTCAAGCCTGACTGCAGAGCCGCGTGCACAGGGCCTGGCCCTCCTCCAGGCCCCAGCCTTCCCCTCGCCACACTGGGAGAGCGGCGTGAGCCCAGACTCCACCTGTGCACACAGCTCTCAGAGCCCCTGTCCCCCACCCTGTAAAAGGGCCGTGATATTCACGCCTGCCTTATATATGCAGCAGGAGTCCAGGCGGTGCAGGCTGGGCCTCCCTCGTCACTCAGGGAGCTCCTTGAGCCCTTTTCTTGAATTTCTGGAATCCAGAGTCTTCTCCGGCCTTGAGGGGCCGCAAGAGGCATCTAGTCTGATCTTACCCAGTGCTTCAATCCCTGCATCTGCTTGCACACCCCTAGGAACAGGGAGCTCGCTCCTCCACAAGGACCTCTGCACACATAGCGTTTGAGGCTACGCTGCTATCCTGAAGGCTTTGTCAGGGCAGGATGGACGAGCTCCAGGCAGCCCAACCCATGGGTCCACATGGCGGTTTGGGGAATGAATGACACATACACTCAGGACTGGACTTGGCTGACTTGGGAGGACATGTCTTATCAACGGACATGCCCAGAAGCTACCAGGAATTGTGATTCAGAACGCAGGCTGGGCTCAGGACCAGCCATGGGCGCTCACCAGCTAGAGGGGGCCGGGGCCAAGATGTCAGTGCCAATCTTGACATCTGACCTGGGGTCGGGGAGGGAGCCTCTGATTCCAGGCTGGGTCCCAGTCCACTGGATCTCCCGAGGGAGAGCTGGGTTCAAATCCTTGACCCTGCCACCCTTGAGCCTCTGCTCAACATGGTGGCCCTCCCGGGACCGGAGGCCACCTTCACTCTGACCCTCTAGCATGGGCCATCAGGAAGGAGCCAGGAGCCATCTTATTTCAGAGCCCAGCTGCCCATACTGTACCTTCACGGGAGGCAGAGAGAGGGCCCCTCGTCCGGGGATGATGCAGGCCCAGGCCGTGACCAGCTCCTGCTCACATCCTTGTCTGGTCCCTTTCTGCAGTGAACGCCCTGCACCACTGTCCACAGTGGGCCTGCCTGCAGGGCACCCAGCTTGGTTCTTTCTCATCTCGGACAGGGAGGGCAGGGGAGAGCAGCCTCAGCAGGGTCAAGAGGGGTGGGGGGGACCCAGCCCAGCTGGCCTGTCACAAATGACACCCAGAATCAGAGCCGAGTGGTGAGCCCTTGGGTGCTCATCAAGTGATGTGTGTCTCTGAAACACCTCATCAACGGTAGACCTGAGGCTTGGGGACAGATGTGGAGGGGCAGGGAGATCTGAGGGGTGTGCTCTGAGAAACGGGGCACGGATGTCCCACAGTTGGGCCAGAGCTATAGGAGGGTCACAGTAGGTGGGTAAGAGCCAGGACTGCCGGCCCCCTGGGTTCAAGTCCCAGCCCTGCCGCTACTACCTGTGGACCCTGGCCAAGGCATGCCCCTGCCTCAGTTTCTCCATCTGTAAAATACCGAGAGAAATAGTTCCTACCCCTCAAGGTTGCCAGAAGGAAGGACCTAGAACAGTGCTTGGCACAAATAAAGCCTCCCCGGGTGTCCCCTGCAGAGGGTGTACGATTCTGCAGGAATCCCTGTCATTGAGGGGCTGGTTAAGATGGCCTCTGAGAGCCCGAGGTGCTGTGCCAACAGCCGGGGGCTGCAGGTTGGTGCCCCTGACACTGCCCTGAGCACCCAGGCCTGTGCAGATAGGTGGGTGGCACCAGCTACCGGCTCCCTGGCTTTCTCCCAAACCCGACGCAGCCAGAGCAAAACCCCGCGCGGCCTCGCTTGCTGCCGTGGGGAGCGCTGGCTTTTCCCTGGCTCCAGGCCCTTGAGCCCATCAGCCCCATCCGGGATACTGATCAGCCTGCTGCCTCCTCTCTTGGCTCCCGCACCCCCCAGCCCCACCCCCAGGGCTGTGAGCCCAGGGGTCATTTACTATTGCTATTGTTACCACGTCCTGCCCCTTACGCTGCTTGTACTTTCTCATCCCCGATCAGAACCAGAACCGCTATTTTCCAGAAGAGGCACCCGAGACCCAGGGAAGGCAAGAGACTGCTTTAACGCCGGGGCTTTGAGGCCCAGCGCCCCCCCCCCCCCCGTTGCAAAATGAAAATGTTGGCCCAAGCGACTCTCAAGGCACAAAACGCTGTGGGGCAGGGAGGAGGGCACGTTGGCCCAGGCTTGAGCAAGGAAGGGCAAGTCTCTGGTCCTTCGGGTGCCACACAGGAAAAGGACGGGGACAGCCCCTGCCGGCTTCAGAGCATCCCTGGCTGGGCGAAAGGGGACGCCGAGGCCTACCGTAGAGCGCGGGGCGGGGGACGGCTCCTGCTGGGTCTCGGCCTGGAGCCCCAAGACCCACGCCGCGCACCTCGCCAGACCCCAACCTGGAGGCTCGCCCCGCACTCCAGCCCCGAGAGCGGTGCCCGCGGCCTCCCCGCGCCGCCGGCGGGGCCTCTGCTGCCCTCTGGCGGCCAGAGCGCGCGGCGCCGCCCTCGGCGCTAACACGGTCGCCGGGGGCCAGGCACGCGCCCGCGGACCGCAAAGAGGGCTGCCCCGGGGGCTCGCTCTCGGAACCGAGGAGAGAAGGGAAGTACGCCAGGATCGGTGCGCGGTGCCGAGCACTGGTAAGCAGCTACGATTACGCTGCTGCTGGGCCGGGACTGCTCTTCTTATTCTCTGGGTAAACTGAGGCCCAACGAAGTGAGTGTGAGCGTGAGAGTGCGTGTGTGTGGGGTCCTTGCCCCAGGGCACAGAGGGTCAGAGGCACAGGCGGGACTACAACCCCGACGCCCTTGCGGCCGCCGAGCCCCGTGCCGTGGAGAACGGGGTCCGAGCGCCCCTAGCCCCAGCGGGACGCGGGACTCGGTTGCTCCCCGCGCGCGGCTGGCAGAAGCAGCAGCGGCGGGCGGAGGTCGCGGGAGGGGGCGGCGGGGGCCCGCTGGGCGTGACGCACGGAGGCTGGGAGGGCGCGGGGCGGGGCGGCCGCGCAGGCTGCATATAAGGGCGGCCTCCGGGCGCGGAGAACCAGAGCGAGCGACTTTGTCCGAGAGTCGGAGCGGAGGTCGAGGCGGACCCCTGCCCCAGCCGCAGCCGCAGCCGCAGCCGCAGCCGCAGCCGCAGCCGCAGCCGCAGCCCGAGCGAGCGGAGCCGCCTAGCCCCGCACCAGCCCCGCACCAGCCCCGCGCCAGCCCCGCGCCAGCCCCGCGCCCCCGGCTGCCCTCCGCGCTTCTCTCGGCTCCGCGCCCGCCCCTGCGGCCCCTCCGCCCAATGAAACTGGCCGCGATGATCAAGAAGATGTGCCCGAGCGACTCGGAGCTGAGTATCCCGGCCAAGAACTGCTACCGCATGGTCATCCTCGGCTCGTCCAAGGTGGGCAAGACGGCCATCGTGTCGCGCTTCCTCACGGGCCGCTTCGAGGACGCCTACACGCCCACCATCGAGGACTTCCACCGCAAGTTCTACTCCATCCGCGGCGAGGTCTACCAGCTCGACATCCTCGACACGTCCGGCAACCATCCGTTCCCCGCCATGCGGCGCCTCTCCATCCTCACTGGTGAGCGGCAGGCCGGGCCCGGCGGCGGGCGGGGGCCGGGGGGCGGGGAGGGAGCTGCGCCACCGGGAGGGCGGCGACCCCCGGTCCCAACGCCGCGCGCCACGGGGCGCGGGGAGAGTTCGGGGCGTCCCCCGCGCGCGGCGGCTGGAGCCCCAACGCCTGGCGGCGGGGCGCCCACTCCCCCGTCGGCCCCGCTTCGGCTGCCCCCTTGGCCGCCGCCCTCCCCGGCTCCTTTAACGGCCCCCTCTGTCCCCTGTAGGAGACGTTTTCATCCTGGTGTTCAGCCTGGACAACCGCGACTCCTTCGAGGAGGTGCAGAGGCTCAAGCAGCAGATCCTGGACACCAAGTCTTGCCTCAAGAACAAAACCAAGGAGAACGTGGACGTGCCGCTGGTCATCTGCGGCAACAAGGGGGACCGGGACTTCTACCGCGAGGTGGAGCAGCGCGAGATCGAGCGGCTGGTGGGCGACGACCCCCAGCGCTGCGCCTACTTCGAGATCTCGGCCAAGAAGAACAGCAGCCTGGACCAGATGTTCCGGGCGCTCTTCGCCATGGCCAAGCTGCCCAGCGAGATGAGCCCGGACCTGCACCGCAAGGTGTCCGTGCAGTACTGCGACGTGCTGCACAAGAAGGCGCTGCGGAACAAGAAGCTGCTGCGAGCCGGCAGCGGCGGCGGGGACCCCGGCGACGCCTTCGGCATCGTGGCGCCCTTCGCGCGCCGGCCCAGCGTGCACAGCGACCTCATGTACATCCGCGAGAAGGCCAGCGGCGGCGGCCAGGCCAAGGACAAGGAGCGCTGCGTCATCAGCTAGGAGCTCCCCCCCAACCCCAACCCCCCCCCTCCGCGCGCCGGCGACAGAACCTAAGGAGGACCTTTTTGTTGAAAAGTCACGTCTGACGTCCGGGCCGGCTCCGGGCCGCGTGCGCGCGGACTGGCGTCTTCCTTACCCGCGCCCCGCGCCCGCGCGCACCCGGGAGGCGCAAACGACGAAGGGACAGTCATCTGCTCTGGAAGGAAAGAGAACTGGCTCAGACCGGGACTACCCCCCATCCCCACCTCCCGTCCCCCATGGGCCCTGCCACCCCCACGGGTTGGGGGCACAGGCCCCGGCAGAGGGGTAATTTGTCTTGTTTCTGACAAAGACAAGAATGGGGGGTGTGTGTATAAGTTAATCAGCCTCCGTTAGGCTTTGGGAAACCTGTCTTGCCCCCTGGAGGGTCAAGACGGGACAAATGGGGCATTAACTTGTCTGTGATTCTGGGTTGCCATGACAGCAAACGAAAGCCTCTGGCCTCCCGAGACTAAGGGGGTGTGGGTCAGATCATAGCCAAGTGACTTGTTTACATGTGTGTGTGAAATTGCACAAAGGAAAACAAAACACACATCTTGCACTTTAATAGTTCTGAGGTCATCATGGACATGAACAAACTCTTACCCAGCTGTTCCTACTGTGTGTGTGAGACAGTCTTTATAAAGTTATTGCTATTGTTTTTTTTATAATACAAAATAAAATAATTTAAAACGGAAAGTCATATGCTTGCTTTGCTTTTAGAAATGGCTGGAAGGCCGAAGGGTCAGAAGGGAAGGGTGGGGTTTACTTCTGGGGTATTACTCACCCTCCCCAGACTGGCAGATGACCCTGGCATTCTGAAAATAGCTCCAGCCCCCACCTGGGAGAAAAGGCTCCAAAAAAGCTGCAGATTTTTGGACCAAAGCCCTTCTTCAATTTGGGGACGGCTCCTCAGAAAGCCAGGACTAGAAAGGAGTCCCGGTCTTTCCTGGAGCTGCATCTTTCTGGCCACAAAGGGCCTCGGGGCTGTGCTCAGACTCCAAGTGGAGGGCAACGAAAGGGCCCCAACCCTGCGACTCACAGTCCACTCGAGGTGTCACTAGGACCCTGCTGTCACAAGGGAAATGGAGCCTTGACAGACGAATCTGGTGTCAGTTCAAAATCACCTGGCCTCCTGTGCCCTCCAGCCTTGGGAAGCACTTGCTGCCCTGGGGGTAGGTCCGGCACCTTCTGTGCCTCAGTGTCTCCTTCTCTTCGATGGTTGAGGGCACCCTATCCTGACTCGGGACCCAGCTCTCTCTGCTACTTGTAACTGCAAGCTTGGGGCAAGTGACACCTGCCAAGCCTCCAATTCTTCACCCACGAAAGAGAGAGCACCCTCTGCGTGGGGGTGCTGTGAGGAGTGAAAAGTTGTTAGCGCAAGTGCCCGCCAGCCAGGAATCCAGGAATCCAACTAACTGGTGGCTTCGAGTGGGTGCTCGGCCCCAGGAGGGGCATCCAGTGTTGTCTCAGGGAGGGATTTCCACCCTGCTCTGTGAGGGCTGCTCCCTAGGGACTGAACTCACCTCTGGGCCCAAGGGGCCAGTCACAGATGGGCAGGATGACCCACCAGGCCAACTGGGTCCTTGGGGACAGATGTCGCTCCTTAGGGCAGTTACTCTGTTTTTTTACGGGGGCAGGACGGGTTTCCCAAAGCCTGTTTTTTTATGCTGGTTTTACAGCGTGTGTGGTGTGTGTGTGTGTGTATGCACGTGCGCTGAGGGGGAGGCGGTGCACGGTGGAGGCTCTCAGTTTGTTCTGTCTCCTCTAGGAAAATGAACATCTTTCTCTCAACTATGCAAGAGGAGCCTCCTATGATGAATTTCTCAGCACAAAACCCAAGATGTCCTGAGAGCAGAGTACAAGTTCTTTTAATTATACTCTTAAAAAATGTTACAAGTCCAAACTCTGGAATACAGGGCAGGTTCTGTCTCCCTCTGCCCCAGGAAGAGGTCCTGTGCGTTTCAGCCTTGCAGAAGGGCCCCGGTGGTCTTGGATCTCTATGTGCTTCGTGTTTCGTGAAGTTTGGTCAGAGCCTTAAAACCGGCCCCCACAAGACTCTGAAATGTCAAGCACATAACTGATTCAGTTCATTAACAGTCCCAGGGTGGACTAGCCTACCAGGCGGCTGCCCACTTCAGCTCAGAGCCCGCTCTTCTGTCCAAAGCCACTGGAACCGGATGCCCCCCCTTCACACGTCCCCAGCTCCCCCTGCGCCAGTCCTCTTCTGACTGCAGGTCAGCACACATGGAACGCCTGCGAAAAACACCTTTGACCAGCCTTGCTGCCAACGAGGTCAATCGGCAGGCATCTGTTAAGCCGCTGACTTGGTCAGCGCAGGTTATGTGCCCATTTCTAGATCTAAACAACACGTGGTTACTTCTCAGCTCCTCGTGAAGAGGCGAGGGAAAGAGCTCAACCTCCAGCTGCGGTGCAGCGAGTGCTCACGGCCGGCTCTTTAGTGAGAAGGCCAGGGGGAAAACTCATTTTTTAAAGCAGGACAACACATGGAGACAATGTTGCCCTCCAACCCCGAGCTCCCTGGGAAGCAGTGCAGGGTGCCAGGGCTCTGGTCATCCTCCAGCATTAGATGGCTGGCCGAGCGGATGGAAGGAGGCAGGAGGCAAAGGGAGCAAGAAGTAACAAGAACGTGTAGGAGGCAGAGAACACGGAGACAGGGGCCGCCTGGCCACCTGCCGGGTTCTGGGCTGACGCCCCCAAAGCCACGGTTACATTCACTGGCTCAAACATAAAAAGGAAACAAAGTATTGAGGGGGGGCGGGGGGCGGGGAGGGAGGAAGCCACCCTGCCAATACTCGGCTTTCAAAACAATATGGCTCCTCACGGTTTTCTTTTACCATTTGAAATCCACGCCACAGGACTGCAGCCCCGGTTGGTCCAGTGAATTCTATGCAAATGTTTCATGACACTGCTGTCAACAGAACAGTGTGTACCTGGTAGTACTGAGTATGCCCAGGGGCGGGAGCGCTCGGAGAGGGGGGAGGGCAGGGAGCAAAGAGGAGCCGCCCCCTTTCCTCCTGTGCTCTGCCCAAGGAGCCTGAATACACAGCAGATGGCCCCCTCCCCAGAAGCAGGGGCAGCATTGCCTGCCCCCTCCCCAGCCTCCAGGAACATTCTTCCTTCCACCGGCAGGCACCGCGGTTACTATGCATCTAGACATATGGATACATCCTCTACAAGGAGGCCCCAGCCAAGCCAAGCCTCCGCAGCCCCCGCCCCCCCCCCCTCAGTTACAGAGTTCGCAGCTGGAGTCCGAGGCGGTGTGTGTGGGGGGGCAGGAGTCAGGGAGGCCATGCGCACTCCCCGTTCTGTCTCAGGCATCCCTGCAAGCCGGCCTCCACTACTCCTTGGGGATCTCAAACATGCAGAGGCTCTTGTACTTTTGCAGAAGCTCGTTCTTGGTCCTGACTTGCTCCCGAAGGCTGTGCAGCTGTCGCTCCTGCTGCTCAGGGCTCAGGTGGGTGCCCGGCATGGTGCTCACGACCTTCCGCAGCTCCTGGAACTTGGTTTTGAGGGCGTTCAGGTCCTGGTGGATGTCTGGGCTGTCCTTGTCCATACTGCAGGGGCAGAGGGCGGGCGTTAGCGTTCACGGCTTCCCTCGTCTGTACCCCCACAGAACTCGCTCTCTTCCTACCTTACCTTTCAGCATGTCCCCTTAGAGGCCGGGCGCCCCCAGGGCACCCCCGCCCAGCACTGCCACTGCAGCCTCCGTCAGCCTGCCCGCGCCATTTGGGGCTGAAACCCCACTAGCTCAGAGGACAGGGACTGCGTCTGCCTTGTTCGGAGCCATAGCCCCGGGCCCTGGGCGCTGTGGGCACTCAAGTCCCCTTTGTTGCCAGAACAAATGCTTGGCAAATAAGTTCATAAATGTTTGCTGAATGAACGAACACACCATTACCACCGTGAGGTGACGAATGGCCGGCAAAACTGGCCCAAATCCTACATTTCTTCTAATTGGAGACATTTCCAGGCCAATCAGGAAACTTTATCAGCTAGCAAGAGCTAAGTTTAGCTGATGTTTTGATGCGTGAACCTGTTAATGCAAGCACTAATTGCCAAAGAGCTAATCATAAATTTTAAATTAGTTACAAGCTACTGGAAAATCTTCAGCAGGTACGAAGTCTCCCCTACCAGTCCTGTAAACTCCTTGCCTTCAGGTCAGGCTCCTTTTAAAGGCAGGATCATTCACTTCATCCCACTGCTGGCTATTAGCTGCCCAGAGATCCATGCTCCCCTGGCACTGCTCAGTTAGAAACAAGAACAAAACCTTCACCTAAGATCAAAGAAACAGCTTGCCAGTTGCTCCCATACATTTTTTAAAAGTTAGCAAGTGGATGAGCTTTTGAAAACAAACAGTTGGCACTAAAACTAAAAGCCAATTCAGTAGGCTGTTCTAAAAGTCACCCATTGAGGTGTAGGGCTGGGGGGAGAACTGTCAATGGTCATTTATTTTTTTTAAATAAACGTCCATTCTTGACGGGAAATTTCAACCCAGATGGTGCTAATTCATGTTTATTGTTCATCATTTCTCTGCTTACGCAGACAGAATATCCATCTTCCCTGGCAATCCATTGGTTACGCTCACACCTGGCAAATGAGATGGGCCCTGTTCCCTATTTATCAATAGCGCTAACTCAGAGGTAAGATCTGGAGAATCACTCATTCTAGGGCATGTTAACCAGCGAAACATTTCTTGTTGTTATTTGATGCCCTCACTTTAAATATACAATCCATGGTATACCTTATCCCGGTTTCTAGAGAGGAGTAATTGGTATTTATGAGAACTGTAAATTCTTTAGAAGGAAGCAAATAGGGGCCATCTTTTATTTTAATGATTTTAGATCTCAGCTCAAATCTACAGCTCTGGATGGAAACCATCTGGATTTCTGAAACCATTATACTTGGATGCCATATGTGTTAACACATGGTACAAAAATACAAGTCCCTGGGGAGTTCTGAAATTACAATACAGTTTTAAGAACATTGATTCACATCACCAATCTGAAAGGACACAGTAAAAGCAAATGAAAATACGTGAGATAAGAACTTGGAAGGCAGGTATGATCATCCAGTTCTGGAAGCAAACATGACCTGGCCCCAAAGAAGATTGAATTCTGAAGGAAAAAGTGGGCCAGGCTTAGGATGCTCACTTCTAAAAGCCCCCAAATCTCAAGGGTTGTCCATTCTTCCCCGGTGAACTTTCGGTAAAGGGGCCACATAAAAGCTTGCCTGGAGGGAAGCTACGGGGAAAGGGGGCCACGTCTCCCACAGCAAAGGCCCCCTTGGCAAGCCGCTCAGCCTGCCCTAGTTGGTGAAGATAAATAACTGGAACTCCTGGAGCGAGGAAAACACGGTATTCAGGAACTGGCTCGAACCAGGCAGGAACCTGCTAGGCTGGGATGACTGTGAAATACTCAAGCCAAAAGAAACGAGCCAGGCCCAAATACAGCGTGAATAAAAGCAGAAAGCTCCAAACGGGCCTGCCTTTGTGTTCAATGTTAGTCATCAGCCAACTTTAGAAGGAAAAAAAAAAAAAAAAGGAGACTAGGCCAAGGTCGAGAGGCAGGAAAATCGTACAAACAAGGGCCAGGTTAGGGCACTTCGGTCCTGCTTATAGTAGTTTCAAAAAGATGGACAAAAATATTACTGCTCTGGCTTGATTGACAGGCCACTTCTCCATCTTCTGTGCACATCCTGGCTGATACTCAGCATTCCGTGGACACAGACATTTGGTGTTACTGTTACCAGCCCTGGGGCAAACATCACAGGCTTATTAGGCAGGCGGGTTTAAGAGCGATGCCTCGTTCAGGTGCTAAATAAGGCACAGCTTCAGTTTTTACTACCGGCGCCTTGGGACTTGAAGATGCCAACTGGCCTCAACTGGGCAAATGTGTCCACTGGTAACTTAGAAGCAAAAGGAACCCGCCAGATTCCTGAAGCCAACTTCCTCCCAGACCTGCGACCACGCAGTAGCAGGACTGTTTCCCATTTCCTCCCCCTCAGAGTTTCCGTGACCCTCGGCCCCATGCCCCCACAGTCCTAACTGACCCTCGCCGGGACCACTCCTTGCCTCACTCTCCTCCTTCCACGCTAACTTCAGCGGCCGGCATCTTTCTAAATTAGTGGTGGGGCTGAGGTGGGGGGTTGTTGCTTTTCCTGTCACCATAATAGGTGCCTGAGGGAAAAACATTTAAAAATAACAGACACCAAGGCTTAGAAAAGCAAGGTCCCTCTAATCCACGTCCCAGAGACACCTCTGTTAACATGTGGTATATATTGCTTCACACCGCTTTGAAATATACGGTTACAAACACACAGGTACTTTTTTGTTATTTGATTTGACAAAAATGTGACCATTCTTGCTTTTTTCACTTACGTTGCACCTTGGATGTCTTTCCAGGTGAACACACATACAGTGATACAGCTAAATTATTTGGCTATTGATGGGTATTTGGAGATTTGCAACCTACCACTTGTAATCGGAATGGCAACGAACATTTTGTACCTATATCCGTGAGTACTTGTGCAAGTATTTTGGTAAGATGATTTCTCAGAAGTGAATTTCTAGGTTGAAGGTTATGTACGTTCAAATTTTTGACGGCCTGCCAAAATGCCCTCCGAAAGCCTGTACTGGGGCTGCGGACGCGCTTGTCCCTCACGCCCTCGACAGCACGGGCCGCTCCGGCATCCGTCAGACAAGCTAGCAGCCTTGTGCATTTCTCTGCTCCAGTTCCGCCAGCATCTGAGACGGCCTCCGGAGAGGGGCTTTGAGCCTCGGACCCTTGCTTTTATCTGCTCACAGGGTTACAAGTGAAAGACATTCCTTTTAGGGAGGGGCAACCAAAGGTCCTTCTGCTAAAAGAAGTTTGAAAAAAATTCTGCTCTACACAACCAGCCCAGAACATGTTCATCCACTTCTACCTCTTCAGAGGTCAACAACCCCCCAGCCTACCCTCCTTCCTGAATTTCAGGACCCAAGTGCCAACTGTTCCCACGTATCTCCTCCCCGGAGCCTGGGGAGACCTGCCGACGTCCACAGTGGACTGCCTGCCTCCGCAGCATGCCGCAGTTCGGATGGAGGGCGCTCCCATTCTCATGACTGAGCTGAGCTGGAACCCTGCACCCCCAAAGATGCATCCGTGTACCCCGTTCCCTGGTGCCTGATGAGCACCCAGCCGCTGGTCCTGCCTCCTCCTCCCACTGGCCCCGATATCCAGAGTCTTCCAGAGCCGGGTCCTCTCCTCCTCCGGACACCCTCTGCCCCGCCTACCTTTACAAAACCCAAGCCTGAGCTCCCAAACTCCCAGACAACACCTGCCAGGCCAATTCACACTTGAAGGGGGCTCCTCAGGGCCAGCCACTAGCAGCCTGTGACCCTTCTAGAGTCCACTTCCCACTCTTGCCCAGACTCCACTTAAATGCTGCACTGTGGCACTTCTCATGCTGCACTAAGTAACCGCTGAGCCGTGTGCCTGCTTTTGGGGAGCCTGTGTTCCAGCAGGTGCTCGATAAGTTCTGCCGAATGAGCAGAGATGAAGTGGCAGAGGAGGGAACAGGCTTGTAAGCTGGCCCAGAAATAATGCTTCCAACCAGTCTATAAATATTCCCTATCTGGGCGCTCATCCTTTTCACTGGGATGCGGTTGAAGGAGAAGCCAAGGGCAGGGAGGACTACAGTCAAATGAGGGCAGACAAGCCCCACAGAGCCAGGCGGGTTCTTTCACAGACTTCTCCTCTGATGTGGGGGCCGCTGCCTGCTCCCCCCGAGGACAGGCCTCAGCTGCCATGGAGGGCTGGTCAGATTAAAATAGATGTGGTGTAGGAAGAAGCAGGTCAGTAATACCCTGTTCCCATGCAAGTGGTCTCGCCTGGGCTCTCAGGTCTTGCTGACCTGCCTGGACAACAAAGGGACTTGCTGTCCGTGTTACGGTCCCGGCTCAAGAGGTAAAGGACACCGCTGTGTACTCATCACTTGAACAACCTCTGCAGTGTCAGAGATGGCTCCCCTTTACCTACCCAGCAACCTAGAACCTTGGAAGGAACTAAAAAAATTAACCAAAAACAAAATAAACAAAAAAAAAACCCATCTAAGTACCCATGCTGACAGAATACTTTTACTGAGTGAGCCACAACCAGCAGGCAAGGCAGTGACAACGGCAACTCAGAACTCCTAGGCTGGGACACCTAGTTCCAGACTCAGATTAGATTTGGCAACGTTGAGGGGGAAAAAAACAACTGAACTCTCTCTGGTCCAACAGGCCTCATTTCTTCCCTCCTTTGTTCTACCCGTCCTTCTCTAATGTGATTTCTATACATAACAGGAGAGGCCTCGAAGAGTTGGGAACTCTTAACATTTCTTACACGCATAAAAATGACATTTTTCTTTCCCCTTTTCCTCATTCTTTAAATTAACACAAATACGTCGTTTGGATCATTCCTTCAACTAAGGGCCAGACAGTAGGAGGGAAGTGTGGTGGAGCTTCTCTCCAGCGCCAGGCAAGTTGCACCCCAGCCAGGACGACAAGAACCAGGAGCTCTCCTGGTGCGGGAGGTGGCCT